TTGTGGGGCAGGAAGGGGGGATGTGGGGTGAGAGATGCAGAGGGGTGAGGGGATGGGGGTTGTGGGGCAGGAAGGGAGGATGTGGGGGGGTGGGAGATGCGGAGGGGTGGGGTCATGGGGGTTATGGGGCAGGAAGGGGGGATGGGGGTCTGTCACGTTGCTGCCGGTGAGGTCCTAGAGCAGTGATCCCCAACCTTTTCCGTGGGGCGGGCGCCGGACGACTAGCCGCCGAGGACCGTGGCCGCCGAAATGCCGCCGTGAAGCGGCAACATCATTCGGCGTCATTTTGGCGGTAGCGTTTCTTGACGTTGCCGCTTCTCGGCGGCATTTTGGCAGCCAGGAGGCGCCCCCGGGCACCGCGTTGGGGACCCCTGTCCTAGAGCATCCTAGCCCCGCATGTCTCCCAGCCCCTGGGGACAGCTCAGCGCTGACTCAGCACCAGCCAGGCCTTTGGTGAGCGCTGAGCTAATGCCTGGGTGTGCTCCCCGCACGCTCCCCACCCAGCAGCCCCCCACTGCCCTGGGCACAGTCTGGCCAGGCCCAGGGTGGGTGGAGAGAGGCAGAAAACAGAGTCAGAGAAAAGTGGGGCTGGAAGGGACCTGGAAAGGGCAACTAGTGAAGTCCAGCCCCTGCGCTGGGGCAGGGCCACATAACCCTAGACCATCCCTGGGGGGGTTTGTCCAACCCACCTGTGCTCAAACCCCTCCAGTGACGGGGATCCCACAGCCTGCCCTGGAAGCCTATTGCACAGCTTAGCTCCCCTGAGAAGGAGAAAGGGTTTCCGAATAGCTACCCGAGATCTCCCTGGCCGCAGATTGAGCCCATCGCTTCTTGTCCTGCCTTCCGTGGCCATGGAGAACAATTGATCCCCGTCCTCTTCAGAACAGCCCTTAAGAGAGGTGAAGACTGTTCTCAGTCCTCGTCTCTCCAGGCTAAACAGGCTCTGGGTTTAACCCTTTCCTCACAGGGCAGGTTTTCTAAACCTTTCATCGTTTGTGTTGCTCTCCCCTGGATTCTCTCCAGTTTGTCCACATCTGCCCTACGGTGCGGCCCCCAGACCTGGACACGACCCCCGCTGAGGCCTCGCCAGTGTCCCGCTCTGCTCGGCAATCACCTCCCGTGTCTGACATATGACACTCCTGTTAATACACCTCAGAATGATACTAACCTTTTCCACAAGGGCATCCCATTGTTGACTCATATTCAATTGGTGATACTCTATAACCCCCAGATCCTTCTCAGCAGTACTACACCTAGCCAGTTATTCTCCATTTTGTAGTTGTGCTTTTGATTTTTCCTTCCTAAGTGAAGTGCTTTGCACTTTATTGAATTTCATCTTTTGAATTCAGACCAATTCTCCATGTTTCCAAGGTCATTTTGAATTCTAATCCTGCCCTCTAAAGTGCTTGCAACCCCTCCCAGCTTGGTGTCACCTGCAGATTTTATAAGCATACCTTCCACTCCATTATCCAAGTCATTCATGAAAATATTGACTAGTACTGGACCCAGGCCTGACCCTGATGGGCCCCACTAGTTCCAAAAAGAACTAGACAAGTTCAGGGAGGATAGGTCCATCAATGGTTATTAGCCAGGATGGGCAGGGATGGTGTCCCTAGCCTCTGTTTGCCAGAAGCTGTGAATGAGCGACAGGGGATGGATCACTTGACCATTACCTGTTATATTCATTCCCTCTGGGGCACCTGGCACTGGCCACTGTCAGAAGACAGGATACTGGGCTAGATGGACCTTTGGTCTGACCAAGTGTGGCTGTTCTTATATTCTTACTAGATACAGCCTTCCAGTTTGACAGCAAACCATTGATAACTACTCTTTGAGTACAGGCTTTCAACCGGTTGTGCACTCACCTTATATTTTCATCTAGTCCAGTGGTTTTCAACCTGTGGTCTGCGGACCCCTGGGGGTCTGCAGACTGTCTAAAATTTCCAAAGGGGTCTGCACCTCCATTTGACATCTTTTTAGAGGTCTACAAATGAAAAAAGTTTGAAAACCCCTGCTCTAGCCCACATTCCCTTAGTTTGCTCATGAAGCTGCCATGTGGGACTGTGTCAAAAGCTTGACTAAAATCAAGATACACCATATCTACAGCTTCCCCCCATTCGCTAAGCCAGTAACCCTGTCCGAGAAGGAAATTAGGTTGGTTTGGCATGAGTTGTCCTTGATAGATCCATGCTGGCTATTCCTTATAACCCTATTATTCTCTAGTTGCTTACAAATTGATCATTTAATCACTTGTTCCAGTATCTTTCCAGGTATCGAATTCCTTTTTGATTGTCAGGTCATTAAAGACTCCTGATGGAGTCATACTGGCTTCTGAATACTCTTCCTACCCTTAACTTCACATTGGGATAGCTTGTAATTGTGTGTTTGTGCCTCTCCTGAACTCCTTTATTCCTTTGATTTCCCTATGGGCCCTGACCTACAGATTCGCTACCAATTCCTCCCTGTTAGTCAGAATCCCATCTAAAATGGCTGCCCCCTGGTTACTTTCTCCACTTTCCAGAACAAAAGGTTGTCCTCAATGCATTCCAAGAACTTACTGGAAAGTTTGACTTTTCCAGCAGCTGTCTGGAGACCTGAAGTCCCCCATTACTACCAGGAATGGTGTTTCTGTTGTTAGTTCTAGAAATGTGCTTTGGTGGGCTAGAGGAGACCCCTATTATGATGTCCACCCTCTTTTTTACCCCTTTTGTCTTTACTTGGAGACTTTCAACCAGCCTGCCTGTCACCTCCGTCTGGACCCCAGAACAAGTGTAGACCCCTCCTCCCTCTCTATCCTGCCTGTCCTTCCTGAGCGAGCTGTGCCCCTCTGTGCCAGTGTCCCGTCCAGAGATTTATCCCCCCACGGCCCCCTCTGTGGGGCCAGTTAAGGCACAATGTCGCTGATGTGCTGCTACGTCCAGTTCTTCCCCGTGCCCCTTGCCTTAGTGTGCAGAGTGCTGCGATGTTGAGCCCCCCCCAGTGCTGCTCTGACCCTACTGGACTTTCCACGTCCCTCCCCCCCTCAGCATCCAGCTCTCTGCTCAGGCCTTTCTATACTACCTGTGGGTGTTTGTCACTGCACCTTCGAACCTACTTTAAAGCCCCACTCGCTAGGTTGGGGAGTCGGTGCATGAAGATGCTCTTCCCCATCTTGGTCAGGTGGATCCTGTCTCTTCCCAGCAGCCTTTGTGCCCAGGCCAGCACCCCATGCTTAGGGAAAGCTCTCCACAGCTGTGCACTCCCCGCCAGCGCCCTGCCTGGGTCCTGGTCCTCAGCCGGAGCTGGCCGCGAGCGCTGCCTCTGCCCTTGGCCCTCGCTCTCAGAGCTCTGCAGGGGCTGCTGCTCTGCCGAGGGGCAGGCCAGGGAGCTGCGGTGCTCACAGGAGTGAGCAGCATGGGGTGGTGGCCAGAGGGACGGATGAACCTTGGTGACTTTCCGTGACAGGCAGGGAGTGCAGCTCCTGGGGCAGACGGACGCCTCTGTTCCCTGGCCTCCAGCACCCTGCGCATCCTCCTCTTTGGGGCACTGGAGCCTCCCGCTCCTCAGCCACTGGGGCCTGCCCCTCCCCTCCTCTTGCTGGGATGGGGGGCACCTGCGTGGGGGGAGGAGCGCTGGGTACTGCCCGAGGGGGCCAGCGGCCAGTTCTCCTTCCTCCTTTGGTGCTGCTGTAGTGGTCTGGGGTTAGCCAGCATCTCCGTCCAGATGGCTCTGGTGCGTCCTGCCCATGAAGTCTGCGTGCTCCTGGAGGCCATGCAGCGAGCCACTTCCTCCGGCAGCGCTTCCCTGCTTCCCGCGGGACTCCACACCTGACACCTCTCAGGCTGGCAAGTCCCCCTGCCAGTGCCCGGCGTGAGGATGCCTGTCTGGCGGGGACCCCAGGGGCAGGCAGAGGAAGAGCTAGCAGCGGTGTTAGCCACGGGCCATTTTTCTCCCATTGCTCTTCCTTGTTGGGTGCCAGCTGGCTCATTCCCTTGGTCTCGCCAGCCATAGGGGTAACTGGCTGTGTCATGTCCTGGCCTGGGCACCAGGGCTACCCCTTCAGTGTGCCAGACCCCCAAGGGCTCACACTCTTCAACAAGGGCAACAATGGCTCCGAGCCCAAGCCTCCGGGCTGCAGCCCTTGCCACCCCCTGGGAGCTCTGCCCAGCCAGGCCACTGAGCGAGCCCCTGCTTGGAGCGTCCCCCTGTGCCACGCAGACGGTGCCGGGTTCCAGTCCTGGCTCAGCAGAGAGCAGCAAAGGGGCAGCCAGAACCCAGGGCGCCCAGGTGCCAGGCTGCTTGGTTTCCTTTCTGTGTCTGTCCCTCTGTCTCAGACAGAGTCCATGGGGCCGGATGCGCTGCATCCGAGGGTGCTAAAGGAGTTGGCGGATGTGATTGCAGAGCCATTGGCCATTATCTTTGAAAACTCATGGCGATCGGGGGAGGTCCCGGATGACTGGAAAAAGGCTAATGTAGGGCCCATCTTAAAAAAAGGGAAGAAGGAGCATCTGGGGAACTACAGGCCAGTCAGCCTCACCTCAGTCCCTGGAAAAATCATGGAGCAGGTCCTCAAGGAATCAATTCTGAAGCACTTAGAGGAGAGGAAAGTGATCAGGAACAGTCAGCATGGATTCACCAGGGGAAAGTCATGCCTGACTAACCTAATTGCCTTCTATGAGGAGATAACTGGCTCTGTGGATGAGGGGAAAGCAGTGGACGTGTTATTTCTTGACTTTAGCAAAGCTTTTGATACGGTCTCCCACAGTATTCTTGCCGCCAAGTTAAAGAAATATGGGCTGGATGAATGGACTATAAGATGGATAGAAAGCTGGCTAGATCGTTGGGCTCAATGTGTAGTGATCAATGGCTCCATGTCTAGTTGGCAGCCGGTATCAAGCGGAGTGCCCCAAGGGTCGGTCCTGGGGCTGGTTTTGTTCAATATCTTCATTAATGATCTGGAGGATGGCGTGGACTGCACCCTCAGCAAGTTTGCAGATGACACTAAACTGGGGGGAGAGGAAGATATGCTGGAGGGTAGGGATAGGATACAGAGGGACCTAGACAAATTAGAGGATTGGGCCAAAAGAAACCTGATGAGTTTCAACAAGGACAAGTGCAGAGTCCTGCACTTAGGACGGAAGAATCCCATGCACTGCTACAGACTAGGGACCGAATGGCTAAGCAGCAGTTCTGCAGAAAAGGATCTAGGGGTTTCCGTGGACGAGAAGCTGGATATGAGTCGACAGTGTGCCCTTGTTGCCAAGAATGCTAACGGCATTTTGGGCTTATAAGTAGGGGCATTGCCAGCAGATCGAGGGACGTGATCATTCCCCTCTCTTTGGCATTGATGAGGCCTCATCTGGAGTACTGTGTCCAGTTTTGGGCCCCACACTACAAGAAGGATGTGGAAAAATTGGAAAGAGTCCAGCGGAGGGCAACAAAAGTGACTAGGGGGCTGGAGCACATGACTTATGAGGAGAGGCTGAGGGAACTGGGATTATTTCGTCTGCAGAAGAGAAGAATGAGGGGGGATTTGATAGCTGCTTTCAACTACCTGAAGGGGGGTTCCAAAGAGGATGGATCTGGACTGTTCTCAGTGGTGGCAGATGACAGAACAAGGAGTAATGGTCTCAAGTTGCAGTGGGGAGAGGTTTAGGTTGGATATTAGTAAAAACTTTTTCACTAGGAGGGTGGTGAAGCACTGGAATGGGTTCCCTAGGGAGGTGGTGGAATCTCCTTCCTGAGAGGTTTTAAGGTCAGGCTTGACAAAGCCCTGGCTGGGATGATTTAGTTGGGGATTGGTCCTGCTTTGAGCAGGGGGTTGGACTAGATACCTCCTTAGATCCCTTCCAACCCTGATAGTCTATGATTCTATGACTGGTCCCAGGTGAAAGACCCATGTCTCTGGGAGCCCAGTTCTTCCCACTGGCCTGCTGCCAACCCCTGAGTTCATGTGTCCAGCCTCCAGAGCGTCCCACTGGCAGCTCTCCCTCATTCAGGCTGTGAGGCTCCCCTGGTCTTTTCCAGTCCTCTGTGGTTATGGGTCGGTGCCAGCTAGTCTGTGACGCCCCGTTCCTACACCCCAGCCAGCTACCCTCCCATCTCCTGCAGTGCCCGAGGAGCAGCATTTTCATCTTTCTGCACCTGCGGGGCAGTGATGCCAAGGGGCTGGGCACAGTCACACAGTTCATAACAGTGTTACAGACAATCCCCACGTTGTCACAGCCCCCACGCCCGCTGCGGGGGCAGAGTGCCTGGTGCCTAGCCGTCCCCACCACACCCGCTGGGGGCAGAATGCCCGGTGCCAGGTCTGCTCATGTTGTGGGGTGGGATGTGTCAGAATAAATGGTTTTCTCTCTCCTCTGCAGAGGACGATGTGTTGTGCAGCCCTGGGGCCGTGGGGCTGGCGTCTGGCCCAGTTCTGGTGCCAACCCAAATGACGATGGAGTCTGTGCTGCACTGCGCAGCGGCGTCTGACTGCTCCCCCTGCGTGCAGGTCAAGCTGCAGCTGGCTGTGCTGGGTGAGAGCAGGTTGAGGGTGTCACGGACCCGGGCGATGCGGAGCTGCTCCCTACAAAGCCGGGCAGGTCTCTGGTGAAGTCTCCTCTCCCTGAGCAGACTGTCCCCAGGGCAAGAAGCTCACACGGCTTCACCTTTCTGGGTCTGACCTCGGAGCATCCAGCATCCCCTGCCCCTCCGTGCGCTTCCCACAGCGAGTCCACTTGGGCGGGGTCCTGGGGCAGCCAGAGGTCCTGCCCCCCAACTCCGCAGTCAGACGTGACTCTCAGCCAGCCGGGAAAACAGAAGGTTTATTAGCCGACAGGAACCCAGCGTAGGACAGAGCTTGTTAGCACAGAAATCAGTGACTTTCAGCCAAGTCCATCTTGGGGAGGCGGGGGTGCTCAGAGCCAGGGCTCTGCCCCCCCCCCGCGCCCCAAGCCAGCCGAGACTGACTCGCTTCCAGCTGCCTGGCCCTGCCCTGCCCGTTGCTCCTCCTCCGGCCTTCGTCTCGCTTCCCAGGCCAAGAGTCACCTGGTCGCATCCCCCTCCTGGGTCTCAGGTTACGAGGGGGGGGCCACAGCATTCCTGCAGGGAGCTGAAGCAGCCCCCCCAAGTCACACACGCTTATTCCCACCACCCAGACATTGGTGCGACACACAGGGAAACTGAGGCACACACAGCATTCATGCAAAACAGTAAGACTCACATACAACATGACAAGGGAAAATCTCCACTTTGTCACAGGCAGAAAGGCAGCTCCAGAGCCCAGTTCTGCCCAAGTCCTGTGCCCCTCAGGTGTGAGAGTGCCAGTGGCTTGGGGCTGTCCCCCCAGGGGCAGGGTGGAGGCAGGAGTAGCATTTCCCTCGCCTTAGCGCAGCCCCCGGTGTGGGGCGCCCCGTGGGCCCCTCAGCCTGGCCTGTGCTGAGTCAGCCAGGCACGTCTGCTCTTGGTCGGTCGGGGGGTTGGGGCTGGGCACCAGGTGCCAGCGGTGTGAGCGCGGCTGGCTGGGGCCCGCTCTGGGCACACGCTGCCCCACTGGCTGTGTGGCACAGCCTGGTGAGTGGCTGTTTCTGTTTCAGGGCCCCAGGAGGAGGTGGCAGGTGAGGGGACCCAAGATGGACCTGGGATGGACGCCCCGCGGCATTGGGACAGTGGTAAGGGCCTGCGGGCAGCACCGACCCCGTGCCCCTCTCCCTGCCCGCTGGGCCCCCGCCTGCCACTCACGGCTCCCTTTGCTCCCTGCTCTCTCAGGGCCCCTGCGGAGCTGGGTGCTGCTCTCGGTGCGGACTTACCCCTCCTCCCGCTGTGTCGCCATCGAGGTCCAGCTGCCCCGCGCCCCGGCACGCCCCAATGGCACTGTGGTATGCGGCCCAGCCCTGCGGGGCTTTGGGGAGAACGGACTGACCCAGACCCCGCGGGACGCGCTTGGCTCCCCAGTGGGGACTGAAGGGGCGTCGCGTCCAGGCCCCAGGATAGATGATGGGGGGCTGGGCCCCCTCGGCTGAGTGACCCCTGGCCCTCGGGGGGGTGGAGGGGCTGGGCTGGGCTGGGCCCCCTCGGCTGAGTGATCCCAGGGGATAGGAGGGGCTGGGCTGGGCCCCCTCGGCTGAGTGACCCCAGGGGGGTGGAGGGGCTGGTCTGGTCTGGGCCCCTCGAGTGAGTGACCCGTGGTCCCCTGGCAGGGTGGGGCTGGGCTGGGCCCCCTCGGCTGAGTGATCCCAGGGGGGTGGAGGGGCTGGGCTGGGCCCCTCGAGTGAGTGACCCCTGGTCCCCTGGGGTGGAGGGGCTGGGCTGGGCCTCCTCGGCTGAGTGACCCCAGGGGGGGAGGAGGGACTGGGCTGGGCCCCTCAGCTGAGTGACCCCTGCTCCCCCAGGGCTCCATGTGGTTTCACTGCTTCGAGGCGGCACTGCAAGGGGAGCTGCACGTCACGTCCTACACGAGTCCCCGGTACCGGGAGGTGCTGAGCCAGACGCACCGTGTGCCCGGTGAGTGCCCGCCCACAATGCCAGCGCGGCACAGCCCCAGGCCTCTCCCTGTCCTCCCTCCCCCCATGACTGCCGGCTCCTCCCCCCATGACTGCCGGGGCCCCTTTCCCTGCCCTTCCCCCTCCTCCCCTTGTCCCCAGAGCAGTCTGTGGCCCCTGCTGACCCCCTGCACTGTCTTCCCCCCCAGACTGTTCCTGGCCTGCAGCACAGGCTGCCATCCGGGTGTGCCAAGGTAGGAGCTTGTGACGCCCAATTCATGCAGGTGTCACCAACTCCCTAATGGGCCCCCCTTGATGAGCATCTGTGGGAGCCAGACGCCCCCCCCCCCCGCAGCCCATTGCCGTGGGGCCATCTCACGTGGCCCCCTGGGCCTGGCAGCTGGGTCAGTTCCAGCCCTTCCGCCCAGGGCAAGCTGGGCACAGAG